AATCAAAACGATGGAAACAACCTAGATGCCCAAACAGATGAATGGATAAACAAACTATGGTACATACACACAATGGAGTACTACGCAACAATAAAGAACAATGATGCATTTTTGAAGCATCTCACAACATGGATGAATCTGGAGGGTATTATGCTGAACGAAATAAGTCAATCAAAAAGGACAAATATTGTATGAGACCACTACTATAAAAACTCATGAAAAGGTTTACACACAAGAAGAAACAATCTTCTATGGTTACGAGGGAGGAAAGGGGTGGGGATGGAAAAACACTAAATAGACAATAGATAAGTAGTAACTCTGGTGAAGGGTAAGACAGTACACAATACTGGGGAAGCCAGCACAACTTATAAAGGCAAGGTCATGGAAGCTCCACAGACACATCCAAACTCCCTGAGGGACCAAATTTCTGGGCTGAGGGCTGTAGGGACCAAGGTCTCAGGGAACATCTAGCTCAACTGGCATAACATAGTTTATAAAGAAAATGTTCTACATTCTACCTTGGTGAGTAGTATCTGGGGTCTTAAAAGCCTATGAGCAGCCATCTAAGATACTCCACTAGTCTCACCCCTTTGGGAGCAAGGGAGAATGAAGAAAACTAAAGATAACGGAAAGATTAGTCCAAAGGACTAACGGACCATAACTACCACAGCTTCCACCAGACTGAGTCCAGAACAACTAGATGGTGCCCGGCTACCACCACTGACTGCTCTGACAGGGATCACACTAGAGGGTCCCAGACAGAGCTAGAGAAAAATGTAGTACAAAATTCTAACTCACAAGAAAAGACAAGACTTACTGGCCTGACAGAGACTAGAGAAACCCCGACAGTATGGCCCCCAGAGACCCTTTTAGCTCAGTAATGAAGTCACTCCCGAGGTTCACCCTTCATCCAAAGATTAGACAAGCCCATAAAACAAAATGAGATTAAAGAGGCATACCAGCCCAGGGGCAAGGACTAGAAGGCTGGTAATAGGGAACCCAAGATCAAAAAGGGAGGATACTGACATGTTGTGAGGTTGTTAACCAATGTCATAAAACAATATATGTACGAAGTGTTTAATGACAAGCTAGTTTGTTTTGCAAACCTTCACCTAAAGTACAATTTAAAAAAAAAAGTTATTAAAAAAGAAAATTGATCCCTGATCATATCAAACTTCTGCTTTCCATGCACAGCTCTGACTGTATTTTTCTCCATCAAAAGGTTCTTCCATACAGATGTATTTATTTCTACATTCAATATCATCAGGCCTCAGAATGGCTTTGGCTTCATGAACTAAAATCATCTGACTGTCCCAGTCAAACTCTGTAGTATATTATCTAAGAAAACCTGCAATGAAATATTAATTAGCCATAAAAAAGAATTAAGTACTGATACCTGCTACAACATGAATAAACCTTGAAAACATCATTCTGAGAGAAAAAAGTCAGACACAAAAGTCCACATATTGTATGATTCCATTTACATGAAATATCCAGAGTTGGCAAATCCATAGAGACAGAAAGCAGATTAGAGGTTGCCAGGGGCTGGGAGAAAGATGGAAGGGAGTGCTGCATAATGAGTACAGGGTTTTCTTTTGGCACGGTGAAAATGTTTTGGAACCAGATAGTGGTGATGGTTACGGGAATGCCTCATACATAATATTAATCTTTAAATAACAAAAGATGATATGATAGAATAAATACATCAGTTAAACCAGTAAGAAAAAATAAGCTTAACTCATTCATTAAAATATGAAGACTTTCAAACTGGCTAGAAAAGAAAATCAAACTCTATGCTATATGCAAGCAACAGACCTAAAATAAGTGCTCCTGAAAGGTCAAGAAGAAAAGGATAGGCACAGACATACCAAGCACATACAAATAAAAGGGAAGCAAGAGTCACACACAAAACAGAATTTAGTCCAAGAGGCATCAAATGAGAGAAAAAATAGCATTTTTTAATGATAATAGTTAGAAATCACAATGAAGATAAAATAATCATTACCATCTATGTACAAAACTTCTGTAAAGCAGAAACTGCATAAGATTGAAAAAAGAAACAGAAACACACTCCCACTGCCATCAAGTCATTTCTGACTCATAGGACAGAGTGGAACTGCCCCTGTAGGGTTTCCTAAGAGCAGTGGTTAAGCGCTCAGCTGCTAACCAAAAGGTCAGTGGTTCGAACCCACCAGCCGCTCCACAGGAGAAAGATGCGGCAGTTGGCTTCTGTAAAGACTATAGCCTTGGAAATCTTATGGGGCAGTTCTACTCTGTCCAACAGGGTCCCTATGAGTTGGAATCAACTCAACAGCAATGAGTTTGGTTTTGGTTTTTTAATCTTTACAGAAGCAGAGTGCCACATTTTTCTCCCGTGGAGTGGCTGGTGGGTTCGAATTGCCAACCTTTCAGTTAGCGGCAGAGCACTTAACCACTGAGCCACCAGGACTCCTTAGAAACACACTAATTAGAGGAAACTAACACTCTTGGTAGGCCTAGACGGTTCAAGTGGACAAAATAATTAGGATACAGAAATCTAAACAAAACAATCAATAAGGTAAATAGTATATACTCAATTCTGTATCCTGATAAACACCTCAATATAATAAGTCACGATAAAATGTTTTTTAAAATTACATGATACATTTAGCGTTAAATGACCATAAAGCAATAAAATATTAAACAATCAAAAATCAAAAAAGTCTTGCCACCTAGAAATTGAAACACTCTAATGAATCAAAAGGGAAGTGAAAAACAACTCAGTTAAACTACTAGAAATGTATGATAACAAAAGCACAACATATATTCTGAGATAAAACTAAAGTAGTGTTCAGAGGAAAGAAAACTCATTGCACTAAATACTGGTATCAGTAAAAATAAACTGAATTAAGCATCCAACTTTTTCATGAAGATACAGTAAAACAAACCCATACTTTCATCTAATTTTTTTCCTAAATATATTCACCTTTCCTAACTAAATATATTTAACTTTGTGTTCCCTCAAGATTTATTTATGAAAATTTTAACAATGTAGGCAAAAATTTTATCCTAATTTTAATTTATGAAATATTTGAATATAAATGCAAAAATATCTTACAATTCTTGACCGAAAACAAAAAAAATCAAACCTAAATTTAGTTTCGGAAACATAAAATGAGGAGTGAATTTCCAACAACAAACAGGATAAATGAACATGCTAAACTGTAAGGATGAAATTAGTAAAATCCAGATTGTGGGAAACCCTATCAGGCAAACAAACCAGTTTCTTCACCAAATAAATTGTGACGACAAAAAAAAAAAATGGAACAGATACCTAAAGATTAGAAAAGACTTTAGGGAACTAAAGCGACAATATATGGATCTTAATAAGATCTAGATTCAATTAAAAAAAACTATAAAACAATAATAAGAGATATTTCAGTAACTTTTTTTCTAGCTGTGATAATGGTATTGTTAATGGTAAAAAGAAAAAGAGTCCGTTTTATAAATAAATGGTAAGATTTTTATAAATTAAATAATACAATGTCTGAGATTTGTTCCCAAATAATATGGGGAGGAAACGGAGAAGAGTGAATATGCATAACGAATGGGAACTGGCTATGGATTGATAGTTACATAGGCTGAGTGTTAGGAACATGGATATTCATTACATTATTCTGCCTACTTTTGTGTATGTTCAAAATTCTTCAAAATAAAAAAAAAATTTTTTAAAGTATATGTAGATCAAGCAGAGTCCTCAAATTGAATAAAGAACAAGTTCCACACATACATGTATCCTATCTTTCAAATGTTTATACATGCTGTTATGATGACTAATTTTCAAATCTATTTAAAATATATATATATATTGTTGGAGCCCAATGAGGTCAAGTTCCCGAGGGCTGAAAGGCAGAATTGGAATAAGAAGTAGGTTAAAACTGTACTGCTAAGGAGATATGACAAAAGTCATAGTCAGTGAACATACCCATACAGTAAAAGATTAACTTTTCCCAAAGAGAAGTCTGGCCATAGCCCCCAGCTTCTAGAAGGTAACCTCTATGCCTTTGGAACATCCAGCCTGAAAAGGATGCCTCTGTTTACCTCTAGGTCTGGGGGCCTTGGTCCATGCTAGACAGTCTATGCTAACAACGTGATTTATGGTGGGGGCTTTGGGCCACATAGTATCAGCTCAACCTCTGGAGGGGCGGAAGGCTAAGTTCAGCCATGCAAGTAGTCAAACTTATTCATATGACTGATCCCCAATAATAACTCCGGATACCAATGCTCAGGTGAGCTTCCATGGTTGGCAATACTCCATGTGTATTGTCACACATTGTTGCTAGGAAAAATAGGTGCTGTCTGCACAACTCCACTAAAAGAGGATAACTAAAACCTTCTTGCCTGGAACTCTCCTGGACCCTTCCCCACATACCTCTTCCCTTGGCTGATTTTAATCTGTATCCTTTCACTGTAGTAAACTGTAACCATGAGTATAACAATTTTCAGTGAGTTCAACAATTCATCCTAGCAAGTTTAAAGAACCTGATGGTGGTCGTGGGGACCCCCAAACTTACAGTTGATGTCAGAAGTGAGGGTAGTCTTAGGGACTCCTGAACTTTGTAATATACCATCTGCATAAGTGTTCAGGCTGAGAACTGCCAGCCGCAGAAAGCCTGAGAGTTAGGAGCTAATTTCAAGACACTGCCTTTATAGTATCTAAAATCAAATACTATTCTGCCCCTTAATCTAAACAAAGCCCTTTTTTAGTACACTCCAAACATTTATACAAAATTTTAAAACTTACAAATGCATTTCACTGTCATAGGAAGATCCTAAAATTCACACATTTCAAAGAGAAAGTAATGAACATTCAGCTATACATGCTTTGGTTAAGTAAATACCAGAAAGCTACCTTCTGAAAACATAATCAAATGTGGAGGGGAAGGCAAAAACAAAGGCACAGCTAATACACAGAGCAAGTAACTGGAAATAACTAGTTTTCAAAGTAAAACATTCCTTACCCTATAACATCAATCACCTTCAAGAGTTGAGAGTCAAGCAGCATAGAAGCAGAAATGGGCTCCCAGAGATTATCACTTGCTATGATTTTCACCTGCTCGAGACCTTGATGGTTCAGCATTTTTCTTAACATCTTTCAGAGAGGTAAACAGAATACATAGGAAAGGTCACCAATACATTTTTAGCTGTTGAATTATGACAAAGATAGCTAAAGTATCTTCAAAAACCAGCATCCTGGAAGATAGTTTCAATATTATTTCTCAGTACAAATGTACCTCCTGTGGAAAATGAAAACATTATCTTTAAGGTACCTATATCATGGGAATGTAAAAAGAAAAAAAAAACCACAGGGGTAAAAATGTTTTGGATGGAAACCCTAAACAGGACAAATGAAAAGAGAAACTGTTCTAGTTGAACTCAGTGAGTGTCCCGAGACTCATAAATCCATTTCCATCCACTACACTCAGAACCTAACTGGGATTCTCCAGAAACAATTTAAAAACCGTGAGAATATACTGAAAACCAGAGTAAACCGTAAATACAATGTAAATAGCAAAAATAAACTTAAATTCTATGAAGGAATTATTCACTAATAATTTAAAGATAAAAAGATTTTAAAGTTGTACAGACCTTGATATAACTGATGTCAAATGTTCTCTCATTCCAAATCTACAAAAGAAAAAGTCAAAAAGTCTGAGTTGAAAGTTTTAAGTGACAGAAAGTAGACACTGCCATTAAGATACCACTTCTCCCATCATCTTTCATATTATCTGATATGTCATTTTTCCTACTTTATGAAATGACCTACCACACAATTTATAGCTATTTATAACTTATGTAAATTAAAATACTATTTTTTTTAAATCTTAAAATATTTGGTATTTTTAAAAAAGGAATTTATTCCAGAGATTTCTAAGACAGTGGAATATTCATCCACTCATTCAACAAATACTGACAGTATAATGTGTGCCAGGCGCTATACTAAGCACTGGAGAACTAACAGATACGGAGACTGTTGTCATAATCAGTACAGGATCCCGAAGGCACATCTGAAAGTATTAATAAGTACATTGTACAGCAGTAATTTTTTAAGCACACACAGAGAGAATCACAGACGTGTTAGATCACAAAAGCAAACCCCTAATGAGGAAACATAAAAGGAACAAATCTCTTAAATTTAGAATCACGAAGACTTTCATTCTGCGGCTGAGAAAACTGTTAGTAACAGAGATGGATCTAAGGCCCAGGTGCTATAGCTCCAAAAGATCTTCCTACTCTGCTTACACAGGAAAAGAGTGTCTGATCTAAGAAGCTCCTTGCCATAACATGTGATTATCAAGAGTCTAAAAGAGATGTGAATCACCCCTTCTTTGCCAGATACATTTCCTAAATGTGACATTACCATAATAGAAAGCTACTAGACCCAAACCTGCATTTAGCTTCACTGTGGGTTAAAAATACCCTGCCATTTAAGAAAGCTCTCAAATGCAAATTAATTTTCAGTTACAATTTGGAGAAGGGTAATAAAAACAAGCATATTCTTTTCTCCAGCTCCCTATAGCCCTTGGTTGATACCCATCTCATATATCACCCTGTGATACCGCAATTTATCTATTCCAGTGTTGACATCTTTCACTGAACCTCTCAAGAGCTTATTAATCTTGCTATCTCTAGAACACAGTCACAATGCCTTCAACACAGTAGAAGCTCAGTAAGTGCTTGCTTATTGCATGGAAACTTTTGACAAACAGCATATTAATGAGCAAACTTTTATTGAGACTCAACTATATGTGTGAGTAAAAGACTCTATGGGGTATAATGTCATGTGAGGCACGCCTCCAGCCTGCCAACAGACCAGCTGGGGAGACAGGATATCGTGTTTTACACTTTTTAATTATTAGAAAGTGTTAAGTAGCAGTTTAGGACAGGGGTAAGGGAGATTACAGCCCGCTGGCCAAATCTAGTCCACCTGTATTTCTACAGCCTGACAGCTAAAAATGGTTCTTACAGTTTCAAATGGTTACATTCTAAATGGTTATGTAAGTACCTACCTAATATCCTCAATTCTATCTCTTTATCCACAAAACCTAAACTATTTACTTTCTGACCTTTTAAGGAAATGTTTGCCAACCCCTGGATTAGGACAATAGATGTTGCATAGAGCAAAACAAAATTAATCACTAAACTCTATAGTAAACATAGTATTATTGTCAGAACTAGAGAAACTAGGAAAAGCTTTGCAGGAAGATTTGAGCTGAGGTGATACAAACACACACACACACACACACACACACACACAAAAATAGAGAAATAGCACACTCAGTACAGTTTTCAAAAGTGGCAAGAATCTGAATGGACAAAGAGGAGGAATAAAAGGTCACATGTAGTTTATCTGTGTTATTATTAGATACCAATACAACAAATTAGTCTCATGACACAAAATGGTTAGTCAGTGAAGTGCCACAGAATCAAATTACTTTAAAAAATTACAAATGCATGTCCACAAATTAATCATATTTTAAGTATGTTACGAACCCCAATATAATCAATGTCCAAATTATGATAATGCTTGGCACCCACAATCCAGGCCACAACATAATAGGCAGTCAGCTGAATATTTACATAAGGCCAGTTGAAACCTTTCCCCAGCCATCCAGGGAATGACCATGGCAACCCTGTAGAGAGAAAGGAAGAGGCAAAGATGGAATGGATAACAGTGCTTGCTCATTTAAAACAAAACAAAACAAAAAGGATGTTCAGCTAAGCAAAATGCCAATATAGATCTGACTAAAGGAAAGACTGTATATAACACACAATTTCTCAAAACCCCTTCCAGGCTATGGACAGCATAATTCCTTAGTGACCCGTTAAGAGTCAAGTTCCATAATCCCAAATGCTCTTCCAAGAAAAAATAAGAATAGCAAACAACAAAAACATCTCTCTCAAAGACACGTACCATAGAAAGAAATGTATCATACAATTTAATTTAACATCTTCTCCCCCTGTAGGGAATATTCAATATTATAACCTCTGTTCTTGGAAGTCAAATCAAAGAGTTCAGGAAAGCTGACACTTAACTACTCCTGTGAGGTAGGTTTAATACAAATCCTTCATCCACTAGCATATCTTCTTACAGTTTAAGGTTACTTAAAGTATTAATTAGTCAGGTATGTTTTGCTGTGTACATTTTCAAAAACAAAAAAATAAATAAATTATTTAAAAAATACTGATTAGGTAATCAAATTTAACAAAATTAGTTTGTCCTTATATCAATATAAATGCCAGTGACTTAAAAGGAAAATACATTTTTGTTAAATGATACAGATCAAGTACATCCACATACTTCCAATAACCATGATTATTTTCAAGTTTAAAAAAGAGAAGCACTAATTACAATTCTAAATGCTAATTCTCCTACTAGTATATTAACATAAAATCAACAGTTAATTTCCATAGCTCTTCAATATATTATCAATCTAGTTCACCACTGAAAAATATCAAATTCAAAATGACAAAATGCTTCTTTATTTTTCTAAACTCAGGAGGAATGCATAAATGTATCAACATAAGAAATGTGACGTTAAAATAACGCAACATTTTTAAACAATGTAATGCCAAATACATTCTCAAGGCCCACCATGTGTAAGTCTTTGTTAGGATGTGGTTCTGTGTGCCAGATTTTCTACATTTAAATGAGATCTGACCTTGGAAGCAGCCTAGTGGGAGGGTACAGTCTGAATTCAATGATACTTTTTACTGCTCAAAACATTTCTGGAATTTCTTATAAAGTCCATTTAGAAAGAACACACTCCTCTTTTTTAATTTAGAATTACTATTCTCCTTTGTTTAAAATGATTTTAAAAATAATATGAAATCAAATATTTCGAATGGATCATTAATTTCACTTAGTCTGAATGTAAGTCTGTTTCAAAAAATAAAATTCATCTCAAATGATGAAAGTATTCTACCACTGTGAATGTCTGAAATACTTCACAAGCTCTGTCCACACTGCTACAGGAGAACCATGAAACGAGTATAATCCCCTTTGAGCAACCATCCAATGATCCTGCTGCTAGACCCCAAGAGCCACAAGGGGCTGGGATCTGAGGCTGGTTTGTTGGTACCCCTAGTGCCTAGAACAGTGACTGGCATATCACTGAGGCTCAAAAAAAAAAAAAAAACACTTTTGTATGCACTTCCAGAAATGTGGTCTACTGCACATGATGATAGAATTCTTGCCTTCCATGCAAGAGACTTAGATTCAATTCCTAGCAATGTACCTTCTGTGCAGCCACCACCTGTATGTCAGTAGAGGCTTGTGTGTTGCTATGATGCTGAACAGATTTCAGTGGCACTTCTACACTACAAGAGACCAGGAAGAAAGACCTGGCAGTCTACTTTCAAAAATCAGCCAATGAAAACCCTATGGATCACAATAGCCCAATCCGCAATCGATCATAGGGATGGCGCAGGATCAGGCAACATTTCATTCTGCTGTGCATGGCGCCGCCATGAGTTTGGGGGCCGATGCAATGGCAGCTAACAACAGCATGTAACACAATTTTGTAAGTAGTTGGGGTATACTACCACACATAATACACGGTTTTATGAACAGTAGTGCTCTTTTACAAATTTGGAGGATTTTGTTAAGGAAAGTAGTTTAGAGTCACATAACAAAACCAGAACACAATTAGGTTCTAAATCTGATTTTGCCATTTACTAACCGTCTGTAACCTTATGTCAGTGGCTCAAATTCTCTCAGCCTCCACTGTTTCTTCTGTAGATGGGAAGAGTAATACCTTACTCCAGAGTTACTTTAAGATCAGACATTAGATAGATAAATAGATGATTGATAGACAGATAGATGATAGATTGATAGATGGTAGACAAATAGATAGACACCACAGACAGACAATAATTTTTACCAGCTGCCATGGAGCTGATTCTGACTCATGGCAACCCCATGCGTTTCAGAGTAGATTTGTGCTCCATAGGGTTTTCAGTGGCTGTGATCTTTCAGAAGTAGATCACTAGGCCAAAGACAAGATCATGCCTGATACACGCTTTGCAGCTGGTAGCATTAACAGTATTATTAGTACTTCTGTGACAATAGGAACTCCACCAGCAGGATTCAGAATTTAAAAGTTAAGGTAGAACAGACTGCAGAAGAATCGCAAACTTCATTTCTTACCCACGAGTGTAATATTAGGGTTCCTCTTCTTAGCTTCCTTCATTAACCACCACTCATATCCTCGGAAATAGTTCTCATCTAGAGCATAGTGCATGTGGGAGGGCTCAGTGCCATCTGAATGGGGGCAAGCAAAACAGGAAAGGAAATAATCTGTTAATGGTGAGTCCCATGGCCACGCCCCCTTCACACAAACACACACACACACACAATTCTCAGTGTTAGTATCCCACTTCCAATCCTGAAGTCGGCCAAATGAGAATAATCTTATATAACTTGAGGCTGAATGATCCAAGCATATTATTTAAACATCTTTCACTACCCTAAGTATCACAAAGGTCTTAAATAATCTAACCATAACTTTTTATTATTAAAAAAAAAAAAAACCCACTGCCATCAAGTCAATTCCAACTCATAGCGACCCTATTATAAGCTGTGTTAAAAGAAGTTTTATCACTTCTGCACTAAGCAACGGGCACACTGGGCACATCTCACCTTCACTGCTCATCGCCTGGTAACGATCAGTGTGAATCCAATTCCCACCAGGAAATGGATCCCGTCCTTACCTTCCCACTTCTCCATCGTCGTCACCAGCCATTCACAGGGTGCTCCATCTCTCAGCCCCAGCCACCCAGAGCTGAGTCAGAGCTCACAAGTTAGACAGATACTGTCTTTTAGTCCAGCTGCCAACAGAGCATTTCTCAGACCCTAGCCACCAAGAACTTGGTCAGAACTCACTCCTTCCTTCAGACTGCCAAATAGGCAGATGCCAGGCCCTGCTGGCTCTCACTGCCCCTGTGGTTTTGTTAATACACTAGAGGAACTCACAGGATTCACAGACAGTATACCAGACTTAAGGAGCCCTAGTGGCACAATGGTTAAGGCCTCAACTGCTAACTGAAAGTTTGGTGGTTTGAATCCATCAGCTGCTCCACAGGAGAAAAGACCAGTCGATCTGCTGCCGTAAAGATTACAGCCTAGAAAACTCTACCGGGCAGTTCTACTCTGTCGCATGGGATCACTGTGTATCGAAATCAACTTGACGGCACCTAACAACAACACTCCATACTTACTACAGATTTATTACAATCAAAAAGGATACAAATGAAGAGATCCATAGGGTGAAGTCTGGGAGGAGTCATAGCGCAAAGCTTCCATGTCCCAAGGAAGGACACGTTACTCTCTCCCGTGGGTGCTCACCAACCAGGAAGCTCCATCTGATCCTCAGGGTTCTTATTTCCCTCACCACATGGCCATAATAGTTACACCATGCCTCATGAGGTTTAGTCAGTATCCGGCCCCCAGAGGGTCCCTCTTGGTCTGGTCAGCCCCATTCATTAGCCTCAGGTGTTGGTACAGCTCAAAAGAACCAAGAACAAAAGGCCAAATTGCTTTTTGCAAGGTGATTCTACACCTTGCAACCTTACGTAATTATAAATTCCTAGGACTACATTTTCCTGGGCTTTCGGTCTCTCTGGAGTTTTCAAATCCCCCTCTCCAATTTTAAGTTCACATCACCTCAACTTCCAGCTTTCTGATCCTGGCAGTAAATCCCCAGGCTCCTGAGCTGCAATTCTCATATCCTACACCTTGAACATATAACACTCCTTGCTATTGCAAGAAAATACTTTTGAGGACAAAGGATTGAGCACACAGTCTCACTACAACAAAATTCTATACTAACCTCTTTAGTGTGTCAAGGTAGGTAACTGACATCAAAGTCTTGATGTATTACATGGGCACAAGTACCTTCCCTTGTTAAGTAGGACCTCATAAGAAAAGGGGCCACTGCCCATTTCTTCTTAAAGGTAAACATCAGAATTCACAAAAACTACCGGCTTCTGCATCTCTACCTTTAATTTAGCTTCAGCAAATGAAGCTGGCCAGTTATCATCAATTCTACCTAAAATGTTGTAACAATAAAATACATGTCCTCTTACAAAAGCTTGAGGAAAGTTTTTGTGTAGAGATTTTCATTTGTTTCTGGTTTTTTGTTTTGTTTTGGTTTGCTTTTTTTTTCTCTTTTGACACAGATTAAACACTAATACAACTACACGATTATATTTGTTTAACAAAAACTATCTCCAAAGCACAAACAGGAACACAAGCATATAGACAATACTCTAAAGTTCACTATCACAGAATTTGACCTATACATAATAAGCTAGAGATAATCATTGACAGAATTAAAGTAGTTCTTCTTACTCAAAACCAGAGGGCTATAAACTATTCATTGATAGCAGGTACTACACAAAGCCAATCAAAATGGTGACAATGAAGACTAATGAATTGGTGGTTAATAATTTTGTTTTTAAAAGAAAAAAAACTGAAATACTGATTATTTATATTGTTACCACAATTTTATCTGAAGTTGATAACACTGTTTAATACATAATTAAAATATTTTTTAACTTCTCTATAAAATTCCAAATTGTCTTTATGCTCTGTTTAGTACACGTAGTTTTTAGAAGCTACAGATTTGTTTATACGGACTACTTCAACTAAACAAGTAATCTGAAGTCAGAAAGCCGTTTTTGATGGATAATTCATATTTTGATATAAATTTTTTTAAATAACTACAGTTAAAAGAGGAACAGTAAGGAACAATCTACTAAACGATCAATATCGAAAGTCACCACTTTTATTATATTTTGAAATCACAGTGTATGTGGTTAGGTATAAATAAAAATGTTGGGAGGGAAACATCCCATTTCCCAAATACTCCTACCTGTTGTCTGTCCATCACCACCTATTTCGACTTTTAAAATATGCAAAGAGGCACCAAAGTTTGGCTGGGGAAAGAAGTAACAGTATTAACACTGTGCTTCATTATTTGAAAGACATAGCACTTTAAGACAATTATGAATTACTGCCTTTGGTTTTGCAAATGAGAAAACCAAAGCAAAACTTCAGATAGCAACTTATTCCAACAGTAATTTGCCTTTTGTTTTTTAATTAGAATTGTGAATCTGACAGATTCTACTGATGAAATTCTCCATATAATTTCTAAGATACCACAATTACCATTCAATAATTATTTTTTATTACCTTAAAGAGATAATCCAATATTTGAGAACGATAGGGCTCTCGGTAATTTACTAGAAGTCGGGAGGTTGCCTTAAAAAAAAAAAAAAAAAAGTTTTCAAGAGCATGAATAAAACAAGTCCAATAATGAATACTTCTTCATAGTGCCCATGCATCCCACCCCATACCCATATTTAGCCAATTCCTGGGACAGGCTGAGCTGTGGAAAGTTACTCCCTAGGTCGTTTGTTTGTCTGCCTTTCTTCTGCCCATCACTGGGCAGGTAGGGCTATTGTTTGTCCAACAGATAAAAGACAGGTTTTGAGCAACAAGCAAGTTTGTCTTCTGCTGGGATGAGGGTTGGCTGGGAGGTAAGTTTGGTACCATTGACAAATACATGACTGCAAACTTATCTTGAGGATCTTAACTAATAGAATAGTTATTAGAAGAAATGAAACTTAGGTTTTCTATCTTAAGACCATTTGTCAACAATAATATCTGAGTGCTGGGATGAGAGAAATGAATCTCAGCTAATTTTTCCCCTCAACATCTTGCAAGAAAATATTACAAGCAAGAATGCTGAAAGAAAGTACTCGTTTCCTCAGCCTTTTTAGGTATTTATATGTGCTATCAACAGATGAAGAATTAAGAATGACCACACAACAATCCCCAGGCCAGGCTGTACTAAGGAAACCTCATCCAAGACTGGCATCACAATGCATGGAAAGACATAACTGATAATCCTACCTAGACTATGGCTAATGACTGCTTGATAGGAGAAATCACAAAACCAATAATTGGCCAATAATCTGTCCTTTGGGGAGCAATATATAACAAGGGGAATAAAAGAGGTAGGTTTTCATCATGGAATAGTGGAATGTTCATAGGCCTGGAAGCCAGACAGACCTAGGTTCAAACCACTGACACCTTACCAGGTGTGTGACAGCGGCAAGATATTTGACTTTTATGAGGCTCAGTTCTCTCTTTTACACCCAGATATAGGCCACCACTGACATTCTGGTGGTGCACATATCTATTTCCCTCACACTCAGAGCCTCCCCAGGCTCTGCCGCTGAGCTGCAGGCCCATAGCGCTGCTTTCTAACCACCTCAAACGCAATGCATCCCAAACCAAACAGAGCACTTTTTCCTAAATCTGAGCCTTCCTCTGCATTTGCTATCTTAGTAAAGAATGATTATCTGCCTAAACATTAAACTTGGGGTCACCATTTCACCAAACTTTCCATCTTTCTACAGCTACCAAGAACTCCTTAGTATCTTTCAAATCCATCCCCTTTTCTTAAACCTCACTGCCTGAATGTAGGCCCTCACTTATCAGAATAGTCAAATGGTGTCAGGGTCTCCCACATGCCTCCCTGCATTCTGTCCTCCACACTAATTAACAGACTGATCTTCTCAGAACACAAATCTATATTATGAAATGACTGTTTAAACCTGCTAAGTCTCCTCTCCCCTAACAGATTTTAGGATAAAGTTCAAATTGTTTAGCTTGGTACCCAAACCCCCTACTTATTTTATCCTAACTCTGATACTTCACCTCATATTGCTCTCACATCTTCTACATAAATATACCAAACTACTTTTTTCTCTTCCTTCTGCCTGGAATATGCCCTACATCCTCATTTAGCCAACTCCGACTCACCCTTTGGTTTTTGGGTCAAACACATCTCTTTCAAGAAGGATGCCTTCTACTCCTCCCCATCAGTCTGATGTAGGTGCCTCTCCTTTGGGCTTCCTCGGCACCAGGTCCATATTTCTACCATAACACTTCTAACCTTGGGCCCTAATCACTAGTTTACTTATCCATCTCACCTCTAAGCTCCTTGAGGACAGGGCCAGGTCTTATTCAAGCTCATATTCCCGTGCATTCTTTTATTCAATGAACATTTATTTAATATGTTTTGTGTTATCTTTTGTAGCATGGATACAGGCAACATAATGTAGGAGGTTCTGAGTCAGATGGAGCTTGCATCCTGATTCCAACATTTATAAGCTACGTGGCTGTGGGCAAATTATTGTAAAGTGGGATATCTAACTCATTCAGCTGTTGCAAAATTAAAATAAGATTATGTACATAAAAGACTTAGCACAGTACCTGGCACATAATAAGCTCTTAATAAATGGCAGGCATTGTATACACAAATTAAAAAAAAAAAAAAAGGCATTGTTCTCAAAGAGCTTACAGCCTAGCAAAGGCTGACAGTATTAACGTAGACACTCTTTAAGTGACTAATACTACATATGCACACTAACAAATCCTTGACCCTAGGTAAACAAAGCTTCCTGCTTGGCATGATGCCATTAAAACTGTATTTTGCTGTTTCTGGGTTATTCTGCCCTCCACACGCTCCTATCCTTAACATAGGAAGTGCCAGCTTTAGGCAAGTGCACATCATTATGCTATTTCAAGCCTGCAATCACACCCAATGCAAAAGCATTAGTCAATGGTAATAGTAAATCCTAATGTTGAATTGTACCACCAAACAGTAACAAATTACCAGATTACTAACCACACTGCCTGAATAAGGCCTGGAGCTGTTTACAACAAGACCAGGAAGAAGCCTTGAGAACAAATTTCTTCATCCAAAGGCCTTGGGATAACTTCTTCCTCCCTAATCCCTGAAATGGGGTATTAACCAACATCAGTTACCTGCCAGACAATATCCCATGCACTTTACATCTAATCCTCACAATACCCCTAAACCAAAAACCAAACCTAATGCTATCAAGTCAATTCTGACTCTCAGCAACCCTATAAGACAGTTTAGAACTGCCCGATAGGGTTTCCAAAGCTGTAAATCTTTACGAAAGCAGACTGCCACATCTTTCTCCTGTGGAGCAGCTGGTAGGTTCAAACCTCTGATCTCTCAGTTAGCAGCTGAGCACTTAACCACTGAGCCACCAGTGCTCCTTACAATGCTCCACCAAGCAGGTGTCACTTTATCTCAGATAAGAAACTGAGGCACAGTTGGGTACCTACCCAAGGCCATACAGTGAGCAGCAAGGCCTAGACTAGACCCCTGTCAATCTGGTCCAGTCCATGCTCTTTACTGCGACATACTGCCTTCTCTATCTGATATATTATACAGAAGTGTAATAATCAAGAAGGATCAGTTGGGTTAGAGAAAAGATCTCCCTCCCTCCTCCCCAGCAGCTCATATCAGGCTGAATGTGATCAGGCTGGGTCACCCAAAACAAGCAAGCATTCAATCTAGTTCGGAGGGAGCTTTGTCAAACCACCCAACAAATAACGCATTCAAGAGTCCAACTTTAACATTTTCAAATACAATTAGCTCTCGATGTGATCTATGGTAGCAAAAAAAAAACTTCTCCCAAAGGTCTGTTACCATAAACCCCAGGGACCCAAAGGTCACATAGCGAGGAGGACAAAACAAAGACAAGGTAAAGATTACAAAGAGCATGGGACAAGTAGGCAAGTAAATTTCATTAGGAGTTAAGCACAATTATGCTAGTGAAGAAAGACCCTGAGTTACCAAGGAGCTAAGGAATGAAGAGCTGTCCCCACTGACAATTTTGCACAAAGCTGAAGTGCCCTCATGTATGGAATGCCCAAGGAACCCTGGTGGCGCAGTGGTTACAGCAGTGGCTGCTAACTGAAAAGTCAGAGGTTCGAAACCACCAGTGGCTCTGCAGATGAAAGATGTGGCAGTCTGCTTCCACAGAGATTTACAGCCTCGGAAACCCCATGGGGTCTCTTTGAGTCTGAACTGACTCGACAGCATTGGGTCCAGGGATGAAATGCCCACAGAAAAAGAACTCATCCCAACTGCCACAGCCAAGAAAGGCCTGGGAAGACATGTCAATCAATGTGGTATCCTGGATGAGCTCCTGGAACAAAAATGGGGCCTCAGATAAAAATTAAGGAAATCTGAATGAACTATGACTTTACTTAATAATATCAATACTGGTTGTGACAAAGGTATCATACTAACGCGGAACGTTAATAGGGGAAACTGGGTGTGATGCATGTGGAAACTCTCAGTACCAACTTTACAACATTTCTGTAAATCTTAAACTATTCTAAAATTAAAAATTAAAGGGATTTAAAAAATAAAAATAAAAACCCTCATTCCCTACTCCTGTGAGCCTAGAAGGAGGAACAAGGTCTCTCAAGATCTAGGGTCAGAATCAATTGATGTATTTGTTAAAATGCAGACGCTCACGCCCCACTCCACAATTACAAACGGAGATAGGGCAGAACCTACATTTTAACAAGTATGCCAGGTGGAAGTGGCTTCTTAAGCATCCTTAAAAAGGAGATTCTCTGCCCCACTCCAGAATTAGAAAGGTGCGATGGAGACGTGGGGGACAGAACCTGCATTTTAACAGCATACCAGATGGTGGCGTTGGTTTCTTACGCAGCCTAAAGATGGAGAGCCACTGTCTAGCTGTTTTCCACCTTTATGAGTGGGAATCGACTCGACGGCAATTGGTTTTGGCGCAAAGAAATAGCCACCAACGAGGCACGAGTCCTCGCGAGGCAAATGACCCTCCCGGGCCTTGACCTTCCGCGGGACAACACAGTCCCTCCCACCCCCAACAGTAAACAACCCTAGGCTATCGGGTGATACTAGCACACTTGCTACGGCGTAAAAAAAAAAATAGTCCTAGTTTCAGGCCTCTTACCTTCCTAAAGAGACCTCCAGGCACCTGTCGTGCCTCCAAACAGACCTGCCCAACACTCGCCCCTCTGAAAAAGCCCTAGTAGCCACGGGGTTCCGATTTCCCGACACGCCCACTCCCAAAAAAGTTAGAGGCTTAACGCAAGCAGCCCACTGGGATGTCGTCTTCTGCAGACTGACGGCCCCGGCTCCCTGGCGGTTTCCGGAGCGACCCTCGCTGAGTGTCGTCTCCGGGACGAGGAAAGTCAGGCCCTGGTACCTGGGGTGAGGGTGAGGGTTCGTTCCTCGGCCTTGTCACTATCTAAACCTGTCACTTAGTCGCTGGATCTCCGTGTCCTGTACTTTCACCCCTGTTTCTCAAGTTCATTTCAAAGGAGCAAGAGCCGGTCTGGAAACCCCTAGTGGGCGCGCCCCGACCGCCAGCGGAGGGACTCCCGAGGGGAGAAGGGCCGCGGCGGGAGTGTGCCGAAACGCGGGGCTGCGCCGCGAAGACTTGTGGGGCGCGCCCGGGCAGGCCCCCAATGCCCCCCGCGCTTCCCCGCCGGTCCCTGCTCACCCCGCCACCGCTGACCGCGCCGATGCCGTCAAACTCCCGGCCCAGCCCGTCGAGGTCGTCGAGCACGTACGTGCCGCCGGGCGCCAGCAGCGCGCACAGCAGCAAGGGCACAGCGGCGCGGCCCGCCGAACCCGCGGCGGCTGTCATCGCTTTCGCTCGGCGTCGCCAGGAAGCCTCTAGTAGGCTCTCAGCCATTGTATGAGTCACATGACTCTGGCGCCCAGGGAGGCGGGTCCGGCCGCCGCCATGATGGAGAAGGGCAGGAGGCCGCTGACGCTGCCGCTGCCATCTTGCGTGCGGACCACGGGCCGCCGACGCAGCCGCAGTCGTGTGGAGAGGGCAGAGCGAGCCTTTTCCTGTCTGACCCCAGCACGTCAGGGTGCGTCTACCCCGTGGCCGTGGGTGGCAGTGCGAGAAAGGACCGGGCTTGGAGGTTCTAAGCAAGTCTCACTTCAGCTATCACCTTGGTCACGTCACTTGACTCTCTATGCCTACGTTTCCTCTTAATGTAAAATGAGGCAAGAGTGCGGCCGCGTGGGGGACGTACTATTAATCGAGCTGAAAGAAAGATGATAGTCACTTAATGTAATTAAATGTGTTAACACGCTTGGCAGACGTCAGCTGAGAAGATCCTCCATTCTGGTAACTACGCTGTTAACCAGAGCTTTTAGCTTCAGAAATTACCTTCTGCTGCACGTTGAAATAATTCCAGGCGGATAACCCTAGACTGGTAGAAAAGTGAATCGTCCTAGGGTTTCTGCTGTGTCCAGCGTTGTCCTGAGATTCCTGATTGCTTTGGTATTGGAGCAATTTGAGGAGACTCTAAGAGGTTGTAGAGAAAGCCTTTCTGATCACAAAGTCGTCGTTGGCAGAGCCATGGAATTGGTTATCAGTGTCCACAGAAGCCACAGGGAAACCAAAATGTCAAGGAAACACGATATGGCAAGAAGACCCCAAGGCTATAGGACATGACGGGCTTTATCTGCAGGGTTCTTTGTGGAATCTGATTAGTTTGCCCCTTAACCTCAGACCTGAATTTAAGTTTCGGGACCACAAGTGTAATTATACTAGGAGGTCATATTTCTTCCTTGGCAGTGCATAAACACCTTCATCAAGCCCTTCTGATATCCCCAGGATCTTAATGGACAGTAGTTATGCTTCCTGTTCCTCTCTGTTTTAAATTATGCCAGGTTTATTCTGGTTTCCCAAGGACAGCCCCAGTTTATGTCTTCTGTCTCAACATAATTTTTAATAGCATCCCCCTTTCACCCTCAAAATTGTTCTTCTGGTTTGAGTGGTAAATTAGATGGTCCTCCGTATTGGAGCCACTTGTTTTTTTTCTGTTTCTTCTTTTCCCTGTACAGCACCTATTTGAACTCTCTGCCTCTGGCTACCACCACCATTCTATGATACAAGGCAGCAACTTTCCAAGTTCCATAGATTTACCTTATCAGAACTCATACTAATCCATCGGCTCTCCACACAATGTTTTAAGATTGAGCTGCAGCTCTGTACAAACCATTGATGATAAATCAAGTGAATGTTAACTTTTCCACTGACCCTGAGATTTTACATCTGTAATAGGCATATGCACATAAGAACCACATAATAGTGCATGAAATGCATGAAATTCGAAAGTTGAAATCAGTACCCAGCTCACGTCATCATGTGGCATATCATTACATCTTGTACTTGGAAGGCACATAGCAAATATTTGTGCAGTGTGTGAAAACTGCAGAAGAGGAAACGATCTTTAACAGAAAGGTAGCCTCATTCCCAGGAAATACCACTAGTTCCTATTAGTTCATATACCAATGTAATTGCTTATCAGAGAAAATATTTCTGTTGTTAATAGTTTCTAGTCTATACTCAGGATACCATTAGACAAGTTTCAAACAAAAAAGCATGCAAGCTGAGAAAGACCATTGGACTGCTGGGTATGGCACTCAACTTTGTTCAAGATGTCAGTTAAAGGAAATAGTTAGACAAGCCGTGGGTTTGGCTTCCCTTGGGTCTGTGGTCTCATGATCTGTGAGATAAACAAGGCATTAGGGGAGAAGTGAGTGCCGGTTCTCAAAGACCAAAAATAAAGACAGCTATCCTTTAATCAGTGTTTCTGAGTATCAGTGATACTGATATTTCAGCCACTGCAAATCTCTCCTTGTTCATAAGCGAAAAATATGATCAAAATCAGGTGGTCTCTTGAAAAAGATGAGATTCTGTCTAGTAATGGAAGTTGACTGAAAGTTCAGTAGCCAACTGCTGTCTCAGTTTAGAAAATAGCTTTACTTTTAGAAATCTGAATTAGGCTGTCAGAAAATCAAGGGCAGACACCAAGTCTTTTCTTTCTTTGTACTTCTGAGCACAGTATCCAACCCATGGTAGGTACTCAATAAATGTTAGTTTTACTGACCTAAAAAATTAAATCACTGAACAATCACATAAGGGGAGCAAAAAGGGATTGTTCACAAAAGGAGTTGGAAACACTTAAAGTTGTATCCCCCTAGGCATAAAAACATATGAAGTATGTTCTGTTCCCGAGCTATCCTGTAAAGAGATTCTGTTTACTCCGGACTTTATATAGACAATGGAAATGATTGAGAGAACAGAATTCATGCAATGGAATCAATTATTGCTTACTAAACATTTTCGTAAGTATGTTGATGTTGTTAGTTGCTGTACCCATCATGGCTACAACTCATGGCGACCGTATGTATAACAGAATGAAACATTGCCCAGTCCTGCATCATCTCCATGATCTTTGATATATTTGAGCTCATTGTCAATCCATATTGCCTTCCAACATGAAGGGCTCATCTTCCAGCACTATATCAATGTTCTGTTCTTATCCATAAGGTTTTCATTGGCTAATTTTTGGAAGTAGATCGCCAGGCCTTTCTTCCTAGTTTGTCTTGGTCTGGAACCTGTTCACCATGGGTGACCCTGCTGGCATTTGAAATACCGGTGGTGTAGCTTCCAACATCACAGCAACACGTAAGCCACCACAGTATGACAAACTGACAGTTAGTGGTTTCTTAAGTAGAATTACAATTAACAAGTGCTATATATAGCAAGGAGCAATGTAGTATAGTGCTTAAAAGATCAGCCCTGGAGCCCCAGACTCTTGGCTTCAAATCATCTTTTGCCTACCAACTACTGGCCATGTGATTTTGGGCAAGTTACTTAGCTTCTCTGGGCTTTAGTTCACCCATTGGTAAAATGGAGGTGGTGATGATAATGAGTTGATAATGATACTAGCTGAGTTAATATTCATATAGCACTTACAAGAGTGATCAGCACATACTACTTAATAAATGTGTTTATTATAGAAATAAAAACTTAAATGAAATATATATTTAACTATAAGATAACTTTTGAGTTTATCGCTGCACCCAAAAACTAGGACAACCCTAAGAAAAAAAAAGATTATTCCTGTTTTTGTACTGGTCTGAATTTTTTCCCCCTGTCTTTGAGCATCCAAGGAGACAGTGGTTAAAAGCTTGGTGCACAGTGGTTAAAAGCTTGGCTGCTAACCAAAAGGTCGGCAGTTTGAATCCACCAGCCACTTCTTGGAAACCCTATGGGACAGTTCTACTCTGTCCTATAGGGTTGCTATGAGTCGGAATCAACTCAACAGCAATGGGTTATGAGCATCCAAATCCATGTCCAGTTTGACTAATTCTTCATTGGGAAAGTCTTAGGCAGAATCCTGCCTCCTTCATGTGTGAAGGGGCCAGATCCCCCCCCCCTTCTTGTCCCCAGGCTCTGGCAGTGACCAGGCTCCCTCAACCAGTCCATTGAACCTGAGACTTTCATCTTGGAGGAGTGACTAGATGGATGGACAGTTGGGAAATCCTATGGGAGCCATGTCAGAGTCCAGGAGGCAGCAGCATAGAAGCTCCATGAGAAGTGACCTCAAGTCCCTAGAGCAGTGAGGTCAGAAGTGCCATCCTAACCTGACTTCTCAAACAGGGTGACATGAGCTGTCTTTCTGTTCCCTTGACTGTAGCCCGTTTTCCAAGCCTAGTTCTTTCGCCTTTGCATCTATCTATGAGGTATCCTGATTTCTTTTTAATTCCTCATTTACTGCTCAGGCTAGCCACAGGTGGTTTCTGTTGCCAGCAGCACTGAGGTTACCATCAGGTTACCACCCAGAGCTGTGATCATTGCAAAGAATTCTCAGCTTCTGTGTCTCCACAGAGTGATTCAACAGAATTTAGGGGCTCAGTGTCCTCAGCTTCATGATTATCTGCCCATATAGCCCAATCCCAAGTTTCAGGATCCCATTTCTTCCCAATCAATGCCCTTACTTTAACTTCAGACACCATTCAAAATTGGGAATTTAATTGGCATTGTAATTTAGACACTCTTGTAATAAGACTCTGGGTTTGGTTTTCGGCAGTATCTGATCTGTTACTCAAGACATAAGGCTTTGTTTCAGAGCACAAGTGGCAATTTTGAGGTCTTTTATGCAGCACTTGAGCTGTGACTTTGAAGCCCGGAGCTCATTTCTTTCTTTCACCACTTTGTCTACCAAAAGTAGGACCAACCAACCACTTTCCCTATATTTCTCACTCTGACAAAATTGTAGAAAAGTACAAAACACGTGATCATCAAGAGCCTTGCCGCTCACCAATACTTGATCTATTGGTGGTGATATTTTGCTTATTAATATCACCACCTCATTCCATGGATTAGCAGCACCCTCTTTACCACTGGAGGCAGAGCCATCAGTACTTTCAGGACTAGTCAGACTTGAGAACCAATTTAGGAAACTTATCGTTACAATTTTATTTCTCTAGAACCACTCTCAGTATCAAATATCTTAAACTGATTTCTGTAGAGAAACAAAACTAATGACGTGTATACATGTATATATATAAACACCCACTGCCTTTGAGTCATTTCTGACTCATAGAAACTCCGTAGGGTTTCCAAGGCTATAAATCTCTGTGGAAGCAAACTGCCACATCTTGCTCCTGCAGAGCCACTGGTGGTTTCAAAATAATCATCAGTTATCAGTCAATCACTTTAACCACTGTGCCATCAGGGCTCCATATATATATACATATATAAAGAGAGAGAGAGATTTATCTCAAGGAAATGGCTCACACAGTTATGGAGGCTGGCAAGTCCCAAAGTCCATGGGCCAGGCGTCAGCTGGAGGCTTCACCTGTCTCACATGGTTGCAGAGG